AATACTGACTTTTTTCCTTTTTCCCTCACAATGGAAAAGGAGTCTGACAAACAAACAAAAACCTCATTGCACACACAGACAACAGTGTGGTGGTTACCAGAGGGGGTGGGGGAGTGAGGAGCATTTGAAATGGGCAAAGGGGATCAATATATGGTGAAGGAAGGAGACTAAACTTTGAATGGTAAGCATACATTGCAACATACAGATGATGTATTATAGAATTATACACTTGAAACTTATATAATCTTATCAACCAGTGTCATCTCAATAAATTTAATTTAAAAAATAGAAAATGAGTTTGAGAAAGGGTAGGATAGTTGCTCTGAGCTCAGGTATTGCAGTATGATTTTGGTATTGTCACTAGAATGAACTTAATTTGTCCTTAGAGTATGAATAGACTGATTTTTAATTGGAACAACTGTTTATTTTTAATAAAGCCTAATTATCTAACCTGGATAAGATATAATTCAAAGTTAAAACACTAAATGTTTGACCTCAGTAGGACCTCTTGATGAAGAATGTATTATATTTAATTTAAGAGGTAGTTTATTAGTACAAATACTAAAGTTTTCTCATAAAATGTGTCACCGATTTTTCAAATGGCACAAAATAATGCTATTTGAAAAGTGTTTCAAATGTTCAAGAAAAAAAAGTTTTCTAAAAATATTAGCAAGAAAGATTTCTTAAAAATAATTATCATCCTCAAAAGCATTTACTAACAAGTCCGTGGCCAGTGTGGCTTAGTAGGTTGGAGCATCATCCCGAAAACCAAAAGGTCATGGGCTCGATTCCCAGTCAGGACACATATGTAGGTTGTGGGTTTGATCCCTAGTCAGGGTGCGTGTGGGAGGTGACCAATCAATGTTTCTCTCTCATATTGATGTTGCTATCTCTTTCCCTTTCTTTCTCTAAAATCAGTAAACATATCTTGGGTGAGGATTAAAAAAGAAAAGAAAGAAAGCATTTACTAATATATACTGTATTTTGCCATATATAATGTGTACCCATGTTTTTAGCCCTAACTTTTAGGGAAAAAATCTTTCATTTTAATTTTTAATTCAATTATTTATTTATTTATATTTAGAAACAAAACTGATTATCATATTCTAGGGTATCATTTTGCATACAGATATTGTTATTGCTTTCTAGAGTTACACTTCTAATGCATAACCATAAATAAAAGAATTAAAAACATTTATATAGATACGGAATTAGTACTTCCCATGTATAATGTGCATCCTTATTGTTCCCTCAAAAAGTTGGGCAAAAAAGTGTACATCAAACATGGCAAAATACAGTGGCTACATTTTCATTGTAGATGGGCTGCCTTAAAAATCACACAATCAGCTGCGAACCAAAGTATTGCAGGTTCAATTCCCAGTCACGGTACATGCCTGGGTTGCAGGCCATGACCCCCAGCAGCCACACATTAATGTTTTTCTCTCTCTCTCTCTTTCTCTCTCCCTTCCCTCTCTAAAAATAAATAAATAAAATCTTTTAAAAAATCACACAATCAAATATGTGCTTAAGAGGACACAAAAGTTTTTAAGAGTGCAATAGGAACCATGGGGAGCTGCTTTAAATTGTTAAATAAACAGCTTTAAAAACAGACAGACATGCAAGGACTTCTGTGAGTATGGATGCAGGCCAAATTCTATTATAAAATCCAAGAAACCATTCAGTTCTTCTGAACTATTAGTGCTTTGTTGTATCAGATATAGATCTTATCAAGAAGGACAGTATCTGATCTGGGGAATCTTTTTGTTCCCAGACATAGTGCTCAGTTTCATGAGATTTAGGTTTCATGAAACAAATGGGTAGCAAATGGGTAGCAAAATAAGAAAAATAAGGGCAATGATACATGCACACTCACACACACATAATTTACAAATGCACTCACACACACCTGAGGAACGAATGTATATAAATGTTATTAGTAGTTGTCAACTTCTCACTCAGGAAGACTGTTTTTTTCTAAAATTGTCTTTCCAAGTTTCAAAAAAAATATTATATCATCCTTTCTTTTATGAAGCAATGGTGATAATAGTTGGTAGTTTGCTCTTTAAAATGCTGACAACCCTATGCCAATCTGTAAAAACAACAACAAAAATTTTCTGAAATATTACTGGTCCATGAAATCCAAAAATCCACAAATGACAACTTTCTAAAACACATCTTGGCTAGCTTCCCTTCTTTTTAGGAGAAAGCCAAACACCTTCACCTAGCAGTCTAAGTCCTCTATGTCTGGTCTTGATGTATCTTTCTAGCTTTCCTTACCATAACAGGAGCAGTCAGGCCACCAGCCCCTGCCTGTCCTCACCTGCTTTGGCTGAAGTTATTGGGGTACCTTCAGCCTTAGTCCCCCTGGATCCTAGTTCCTGACCTTATCAGAGGTCATTTAAACCCTCAGCTGTGTGAGGGATGTTTAAGGAAAACCCTAGGAACTTAAACTCACTGAGTCACTGAGCCTTCCCCTGAGTCCAAGGATCTGTTTTTGCTTCCAGCTTGGTACTCCTCCTTCCCATGGGCACTGCAGCTCTGTCTTCAATTCCAGTTCAGATGAGACCCTCAAACACTTCCCTACCGCTCACCAATTTTCTGTTCTCAGGGGCTATGACCTGTGTCCTGGAGTCAGGCTCCACACCCCCAAGGCCACCGCCATGCAGCTCTATGCTAACCATCACATCCCAGGGCCAGACCGGTGTTCCCAGAAAAATGCTCACACTCCCTCCCACTAGACCCTGGCTTCCTTTCCCTCCTTTCTCTACCTGACCTGCTGGCATGTAGCAGGCATCTTGGTCAAGACGTTGGAGCTATTACTCGTGCTCTCCCAATATGCTGCTTTCCACTTATGCACCTTTCCCTAGGACAGACTGTCTGCCCTGAACGCTTTCTCTCTCATTCCATGCCTCCCTAAACACCCCAAAGTCTAGCTCAAATGTGCCTCCTCACAATTTGTTTTCATTATTCAACAGACATTTAGAGAGGTCTTGCCAGGCATGGGGACACAAGGTAAATGACACAGGCCCTGCCCATCAGGAACCCAGTCGATCCTGAGTGAGAGCCGAGGGGGAATTACTTCCCTTCCACAAGCTAAGTGTCTGAAAGACAGGGTGTACAATGTGGTGCAAACATTGTTTTAGGCCCCATGGGACTCTAGAAGTATTTACTGAGAAAATAAGTGGAAAAACATGACTTTAGTTAACATGCTCTCAATTCATTTGTTCAGCAAATATTTATTAAGCAGCTATTATATGTTAGGAATATCACAGAATTCTGAAAAGTAAAGGCTTAAAGAGACAGGCTCTATAGAAACTAGTCCTACCACCTCACGCAGATCAGGGAGTCTGCCTCTGAGCACCTGATTTTGGGGAGTGGAGTGCTCCATGCTTTGAAATCAGGCTCCTGTGCACACAACTCTATCCTTTAGAGTAAATTGATATTCATTTATTCAAGAAAACACACCTAACTTCCTAATTTATTGGCAACACCTACCCTTCCTAAGAGCTTATTTTTTTAACCTCTTTTTTAAAAATCCAACAATCACATTTACTGGAGGCCTACTACATGCCAAGTAGTTGATATAGAGACACGGAGGCAAGGTCCCCATCCTGGAGGAGCTCAATTAATTAAGGGAGCCACACCTTAACACAGTATTGCACAGTATTGCTAAAGAGCCATGGGAAAGTTCAGAGAGGCAGTCCCAGGTGACCTTCAGAATCAGAGAGTGTCTCTCTCTACTAGAAGGAAATTTTCCTTTCTTTGGAGTAATGGAACCCTTTGAAATATAATTATCAGTTTCTCCCCTATGAAAGCCTGAGGAAGTGAAAAACTGCCCACCAGCCCAAAAAAGAAATGGTGAGAATCTCTCCCTGCGTGGAGGCTGGGGAAGGGCAGAGGGGCCCAGGGGGTGGGAAGGGCAAACACAGCTGGTCTCAGCCCTTCTGAGGGGAGCATTTCGGGAAGGGGTGGTTGGAAGTGTTTTTATCAGAATAGATAACATCCTGCTGGTAAAAAACCATCCTCAGTCCAAACACAGAAAGTGTTCCCATTAGCCACTCACTTTACCCAAAGCCTGCTGCTGCCTCCCATTCAGGGTCCTTACCCAGAGACACCCCGCATGCTCAGTTCATGGGGAAGGAAGACATACAGAGAGGCCTGGAGAAGACGGAGAAGCAGGGAGGGGAGAGAATCCTGAGTGCTCCCCTCACCTCCTGTGAGGTTGCTCTTTCCTTGCCACACAGTCAGTCAGTCAGCATGTGAGAACACAGGCCTTAACCACCTGAAACCAAGGTAACGCCCCCCACATTCATCACATGCCTGCCTTGTGGTCTGGCTTTCATCTTCACAGACATTCAGAAAAGAAACCTCTTTCCATCAAAGGGGGAAAAAAACGTTTTAGCTTGTAATAAACAACCCCCACTCCTTTAATATCATGGTGTCCTAGGGTTAACTGATAAACATTTGTAAAGTGATTGTTTCATTTCTTTCAGAAGAATCCGTCTTCTGGGGACAGGGCATTTTGATGCTCAGAGGTAGAGAAATGTGAGGTGTAATGAAAACCTGTCAGTTTCCTAGCAGTTTGAAAACAGGTGAATGATTAATTCTCTTAGTGAACTGAGAACAACAGAAGATAGCCTCGAAGTTTAAAAATCATGAATGCTAACAGAACTGCGTTGTGGTGTGTTCTCGAACTATTGAAGTTGGCGACTCTCAAAGACCTAGAGCTACAGGTGACACGGAAGACAAGCTATTGGGAAGAAAAGTCAGACGTCCCACAACATCCCCGAAAGCGAACGCCGCCTGCAGCCACCTGCCTGCGCTCGGGCCGCTGCGCTCCAGCTCATGACAGAGCCGGTGATTGTGCGCAGCTGGCCCATGCGTGTCACAGGACAAAAGTCCATGCGGGAAGGAGATGCAACCACACCTCAAGGCATTCACTTAACGTAACGTGACACCAATTTTTCATCCCTAAAAATTCACTTGAAAGAATCCATTACCTTGAGCATGCGAATTTCTCGAAGGGCGATTTTCTTTATGACAGGGTCATCTTCTGATTCCAGAAACCTCTTGATGGCCACGATCTGACCCGTGTCCCTGTTTCTGCATTTGAAAACAACTCCATAGGATCCTTCACCAATCTTCCCAATTTTTTCATACTTCTCCATCACAGAGGAATAAATCTTCTTAACATAGATCCTCGCATAGTTTGAAAATGTCGCTTGTAAAATATTGGCAGGACAGACTGCGCTGGAGCCCGCACTCAGCGACGGGTCTCTGTCAAGGACCTAGAACAGAACAACAGCACCTGGTCAAGATTTAGGAATTAACCCACAGCTTTAAAGCCTCGCTCCTCAGTGATGGCAACGTGACCAAATGACAGCCAACAATTAGGTAACCCAATTTTAACTGTCATGTATAAACTGCAAGTTAAAATGTAACTCATCACTCTAAAACGAACCGAGTTGTAAGGTAATCTGTCTTTTTAATGTTATAGTGTAGTTCATCCGATCTAAGACACTTGAGCTCGCTGGAGGTCGAGGAAGGCTAAGGGGCTTCCCCGGTTCTAATTTCGGGTCTGATTTCCCTGCAGCAAGAAGACACCGCCCGGCTCCCCGAGGGGTGGGGGGTGGGGGGTGGCGGGTGGCGGAGAGGCCGGGGCGGGGCGGAGACCCCGCCCAGAAAGGAGCCCGCCCCGCGCCCCCACCTCGCCTCCCGCCCGGGGGTCCGGGCCTGGAGCTCCGCGAACAGCAGGCCCTGTCCGGCCGGCGCCGCGCGGGGCCACCTCTCCCGCCCCGCTGCTGACTCGCGGCCGCGGGGAAGACGCCGCCAGCGCCGCCCCGGCCTCCCTCCTGCTCTCCGGTTGGCGCGGCGCAGCTTCTGGAGGCGCCACGTGGAGGCCAGGCCCGCCGGGCCCAGCCCGCGCCTCCTTCCCGACCCGGCACTCGCGGCGCTGCGGCAGCCCGGCTGGGCCCTGCTTCCACCTGGCGGACTCCGGCCCGTCTCCTCTTCTCCGCCTGCCCGGCCGGCGATCCCTATGGGAACTGGCCCCCACCCGGGCTGTCCTGGGCGTAGCCGCTGTGCCCGGCTCCGGCTCCCCTGCGGGACCCGGCCGCAGCCTTTGCTGCCGGGAAGGGCCCAGGTGGGTGGTCCTCGGCCCCTGAAGGAGCTGTTCCAAACGTGCTCCTGGGGCCCTGCACGTACCGTGCGGGAGAGGATGCCTGCAAGATTGCAAACCGTGGCAAGTCGAGAAAAACACAGCTGGAGCGTAGTCCGCTGGGAAGACCCCTGCGCTGGGAGACCCCCGACCCAGCCCACCTTCATGCTTCACGGACATAGCGGTTCCCAGTGACAACTGTGTTTACACCCGTATTCTCTGCTAGACTGTAAACGCCTTGGGGGAAGCTTCTGTGTCTGTCCTGATCAGTGGTCATGGCATCCAGTCAGTGGATCAGTGGAAGGAAGGAAGGGAGGAAGGGAATAGGGAGAGAAAGGCAAAGGTGAAGAGGGAGGTATGACCGAAATTGGTTCAAGTCAGCCCTTCACTGCATTAGCTTGGAGAGTGAGGGTGCCCTTGACCATTGACTTCCACGATACCCCGGCTTCTGATGTGGGGATGGAGGCTGTTAGAGCCCGGCTTGTTCTAGGCTCCCGATTCCCATCCTTCTCCTAACTGGCTCCTATTTGCTCAGCGCAAAGGAGATAAGTTAATAAACCTGGGGAAATCGTGCAATGTGGTAATTTGCCACAGGGCAGACTGCCTCAGTATTTGACCATCTCTCCCATTTCATCTGCCTAGCACTGACGTGGGGTTTGCCCTGGAAGTAATACCCGAGGAGAAAAAAATAACATACTGTCTATAAAACAGGGACCGAGTCCCGTGCCAAGCAGCATGCCACTAATTGTAAATCAGAATAGGGGCCAGCTAGAAGCTGGGGCTGTTTGGAGGACTGGTGGTTGCTGTGGCAATGGAATAGCAGATGATAGTGTCCAAGGACATCTGTGAACCTCCCAGAAATTGTTTGCAAATGGCAACCACTGAATGTGTTTTCTGTCTCTATAGTTTTGCATTTTCCAGAATGTCATGTCAATGGAATTATATATTATGTATCATTTTGAGCTAAATTTCTTTCACTTTACGTAAGTCATTTGAGACTTTACATAAGTCATCCATTTTGTGGCCTTTTTCAGTAGTTCACTCCTTTTCATTACTGAGTAGGGTTCCATTGTATGGATGTACTGTGGCTTGTTCATCCACTCCCAGCTGAAGAACATTTGAATTGTTTCCAGTTTGGGTGACTGTAAGCCAAGCCACTATAAACAGGCATGCATGGTCTTTGTGTGAACATGTTTTCATTTCTCTTGGGAAAATAATTCTTAGGAGGAGTACTGCTGGGTCATATGATAAGTATATGATAATGAAGTAATTGCCAGAACATTTTCCAACGAGAACATTTTCCAAAGAGATTGTACAATTTTATCTTCCTGCCAGCAATGTTCTCTGCATCTTCATCAGCACTTAATATGTCAGGTCTTTTGTTTCAACCATTTTAATATGAGGGTAATGGTCTGTTGTGACTTCAACTTGTATTTCTCTAATGACTAGTGTTGAACAGTTTTTTTATATGCTTGCCATTTGGATGTTTTCTTACAAGTTCTAGGAGGTTTTTAGAAATTCCTTGGGATTTTCTATGTAGACAATCATATCACCTGCAAATAGGGATAGTTTTAGTTCTTCCTAACTGGTAAGCTTTTTACTTCTTTTTCTCGCCTTATTGAACTTGGTAGGTCCTCCAGCGTGAACTCAGACAGGAGTGGTGAGAGCAGATATCCTTCTTACTGGCTTTAGGAGGAAAGCAGCCAGTCTTGCACCACTAGGTGTGATGCTAGCTACGTTTCTTTGTAGGTGCTGTGATAGACAGCTTCTAAGATGGCCCTTAATAACCCCTGCCTCTTGGTAGTCATGCCCTTGTGTGCTCCCCTGCCCTTCAGAATGGGCTTGACCTAGTGACTTGCTTCTAAGGAATGGAATATGTCAAAAGTAATGTAATATCACATCCAAGGTTAAATTACAGAGAGACTGTGATTTCCACCTTGGGTGCTCAGTTTTGCTCTCTCACTTACTTGCTCTTGAGGGAATACAGATGCCATGTTGTGAGCTGCGCTATGACAAGGAACCGAGGAAGCCAGCAGCCAGGAAGAACTCAGGCACTAATCCTAATTCTATGAGGAAATGAATTCTGCCAACCGCCATGTGAGTGAGCTAGGAAGTAGACCTCCCCACTGCTCACACCATCCCAGTGAGCCTTCCTATGAGACTGAGCCCCAGCTGACGAATGTAAGTTAATCTTATGAGAGGCTTTGGTCCAGAAGCACCTAGCTAAGTCATACCTGCGTTCAAGACCTCTAGAAACTGTAAGATAATACATGTTTGATATTTATGTTTGCAGGTTATTTGTTATTCAGCAATAGAACTAATATAGAGACCCTTTGATTGAGAGAGTTCTTTTTAATTCACCAGTTTGCTGAGGTGTTTTTTTGTTTGTTTTATTTCTGTTATCCTCACCCAAGGACATATTTTCATTGCTTTTAGAGAAAAAGGAAGGGAGACAGAGAAACATTGATGTCAGAGAGAAGCATCGATTGGTTGCCTCCCATCTACCCCCAGATTAGGGATTGTGTGTACCCGGACTGGGGATCAAACCCACAACCTAGGTGTGTGCCATGACCAGGAATCAAACCCACAACCTCTCCATTACAGGACAGTGTTCCAACCAACTAAGCCCACTGGCTAGGGCAAGAGGCATTTTGGTTTTTTTAAAATAACGAATTGATGTTGAATTTTGTCAAATGCTTTCTACATCTATTGAGATGGTTGTATGATTTTTCTTTTATCATATAATTTTTATTATTTAGTCTGTTGATATAGTGAATTATATTGATTGATTTTTAAATGTTGGACTAACATTATATTCCTGGGATGAAACCAACTTGGTGATGACATTCTACCATTTTCATACATTACTAGAGTTGATTGACAATACTTTATTAAAGATTTTTACATTAATGCTACTGAGATATATTGATCTGTGGTTTTCTTATAATATCTTTGTCTAGTTTTGGTATCAGGGTAATGCTGATCTCATAAAATGAGTTGGGAAATGCTTCCTTCTCTATTATTTTCTGGGAATATTTATATTAAATTGGTACTATTTATTCCTTATGTATTTGGTAGAATTTGCCAGTAAAGCAAACTGGGCATGGAGTTTTCATTATTAAAATATTTTAAATTATAAATTCTATTTCTTTAATAAAACATAAGACTGTTCAGTATATCTCTTTCTTTTTGAGTGAGCTTTTGTAGTTTGTATCTTTCAAGGAATTTGCCTGTTTTATCTACATATTTGAATTTTTTAGCACAAAGTTGTTCATATATAACAATTATACATTATTATTTTGTAATGCTATTCATTTATAATAATGTTACACTATTATCCTTTTAATGTCTATAGGACATTTAGTAATGTTTCCTATGTCATTCTGTTACAGAACAGAACAAGGGGGGGCCTGGGACGATATACTATTATTTAAAAGGCCCCCAGGTCCATCATGTCCGCCGCCCGAGGAAAGACATCTCTCAATGCCAGAGATTCGTGAAAAGGAAAGGAAATGTTTATTTAATGCTATACAAACTTAAAGTAGTGACCTAATGTCTTTATCAAAAATCCTAAAGTCCCTTAAAACACCCACAAACACACACAGTCCTTCCTTCCTTCCCCCCCTTTGCCCAGTCCAGAGTACCGTATTTCAGGGAAGGAAAACGAAGTCCATGGCTCAGACAGTCCTCTGGTTCTTAGTCCTCCTTCTCGACTGGGAGACCTCCTTGGGTTCCCGGCACCCTCGGCTGAGTCGCCAGGATCTTTGCTAAAACCAGGTGGTGGTTCCTCCTTCTAAAGCTGCGGGGGTCCCCACTCGGTCCAGGCCTCGTGGTTTTCTCTCTCTGGGATGCAGGAGTCTCCACTCTGCTAAAGACGCATGGTTCTCTCTCTCTGGGATGCGCATAGTTCTCTCTCCAATGGCCGCCAAGTCTGGGTTTTAAATCCCCGCGGCCAATCTTCCTCTGCAGCCTCATTTCCGACTCCTCCCACCCTTGGCTTCACATGCCAGAACTCGTATCCTTCCAGCTTTACTGGGCTGCCATCTTGAGTCTGGGCAGGTGTGGCCCCATGTCCTGGAGCCAATCTTCTCCGAGCTCCCACGCAGGCGCTGTAGCTTGGGGGGGGATCTGCCCCCAGTCACGTGTTGGTGGGGAAGTTACTTCCATTCCCCCCCCCTCAGAGATGATCACAGCTATTTAACATATCTAAGCGACCAGCCAAAGGCTATAGATATGTTAAATGACCATGCCAGAGGGTAGCTGCAAGGCTGTTGCTATGCAAAACAGCTCTCAATGGCCTTGCTCCATTTGCTCCTTCTCCCAACCCACACCCTGCAGGGGGAGGGGGGGAATCTCCTGGACACCTTAAGTTCTGGACCCCATTTCAAATGCCCATTTGGGGTCCCCCCTCTTGGCTGCACCCTGTAACAATTCTTGATATTAGTAATTTTTCCTTACCAGCTTGACCAAGGCTTATCAATTATCTTGCCTTTTTAAAACACAGCTTTTGATTTAATTTATTTCATCTTTTTTTGTTTTTCAATTTTGTTGATTTCATCTCTTTATTATTTTCTTCCTTCTGCTTGCTTTGTTTTTAGCTGCTTTTTCTAGTTTTTTAGTTGGAAGCTTATACCATTAATGTTAGATTTCTCTTCTTTTCTAATATAAGCCTTCAATGCCACAAAGTTTTCATGAAGCGCCACTTTAAATGCATCCACAAAATCTTGATATGTTGTATTTTCATATTCATTCAGCTCAAAGTATATTTTTGAACACTTAAATAGGTGATTTGTATCCATTTTAATTTTTAATATATATGTATTGATTCCAGACAGAGAAAGAGGGAGGTCAAGAGTGGGAGGAACAGGAGTGGGAGGAGAGGGAGAGAGAGAGAAAGAAACATCAATGTGAGAGAAACTGACTGGTTGCCTTCTGCCCCAACCAGGGACTGAACCCACAACCCAGGCATGTGCCCTGCCTGGGAATTGAACCTGTCACCTTTCAGTGCACGGGGCAACACTCCAACCAACTGAGCCACATCAATCAGGCTCAAAATATTTTCTAATTTCCCTTGAGACTTATAGATTATTTGGAACTGTGTTGTTTAATTTCCAACTATTTGGGGATTTTCCAGATATTTTTCTGTTACTGATTTTTAGTTTAATTCCATTGTTTCAAGAGAAATCCCTTTGTATGATTTAAATTCTTTGAAATGTGTTGAAGTTTGCTTCATGGCCCAGAATATGTATATGTTGGTGAATGTTTCTTTTTGACAATTAAAAAAATATTTTAAAGTGAGGTGGGAAAATCCACCACACTTTATGTAGATCTGTGAATGCTCCAGATCTACCTTGTCTGAAGTTCACACCAGGCTAAAGTGAGTTTGGAAAATTAGTGGTATGGTTCAGTACCCAAGGATCCTGGGACTGTGCCAAGCCCAGCAGTAGTTAAGGGAGGGAGCAAGCTCACCAGTTATTTACGCCTAAGCAGGCAGTGAACCAGAAACCCAGCGTATCTTGCAGCTGCACCAGTTGTTTTGTTTGGGGGAAGTTGGATTAAAATATAAGAGAATAAATTAGAAAGAGACGATGCTATGACCTCTGTACCATCAAATCACATCAGTCCTTTTAGTTGGCAGGGCTGACTGGTTTTGATAGTAGAGAATTATAACTTTTATGCAATATAGTTCTTGGGAAGCTGAGGAATGTAGGCTCTTTT